AGAAAAAAACATTACACCACAGCCCCCCCCCCCCCGTCCTCATAGGTGATCCAATAGACTCCATAATAAATAGCATTGAAAGCCACTGAGATCAAGCAGAACTAGGGTGATAGCACCATGCTGTCCCAGCTCCACCAGATATAATCAACAAACAAGATCAATACTCTCTCAGTTCTATGTCCTGATGTAGAGAATAAGGAAGATGACATTGATGGAGAAATGCAGGAGCTGTTATTAGGCAAAAGGGGCTGAAGCATTTTTTAAGTCTAGAACAATGAGATAACATTCATAAGTGGCTCAGGCAGACACCTCCCTGATTCACTGAATTATGAGGAGGAGGAGGTACAGCACAATCAGACTTGCAAGGTTCTATTATAGTCAATCTCAATAAAAGTAGTTTTTGGCTTCCTGTGGAGTGGGTTTTCTGATCTGGTCCATCTAGTTTGGTTAGCATGAAACCCAACTGAAATAGTCCAGGTAACGCGTTTCCTCCAGGGCCCTTTGGATCCACAGCACAATCACCTTCTTTGGAAGAAAAGAGACTGGATGAGTGTCATTCATTTGGGTCCAGCAGTAGCTTCTGGAGGAAGGGGTGCTCCACCCCCTCTTTAAGGCCAGCCAAACCATCCATACCCTCAAAGAAGCTGACACCACTGCAGAGATCCAACCATATCTCACTGCTGAGATAGCTGAGAAAAGGCAATCTAGTGAATGGTGTTGTAATTTTTTATTTTTTAATCCAATCAATCGTGTCTGATTTTCAGAGACTGCCTGGAGAAGTCACTGCAGTTTTCTTGGCAAGGTTTTTCAGAAGTGGTTTGCCATTGCCTCCTTCCTAGGGCTGAGAGAGAGTGACTGGTGCAAGGTCACTCAGCGAAACTAGAACTCACAGTCTCCCGGTTTCTAGCCTGATGCCTTAACTGCTACACTAAACTGTTTTCAGAAACAGTGGTAATTAATTTGAGCTATGTTTCCTTTACTTTTTGTTATGTGTCTTTAATTTCTTTTTGTTATTATTTCTTACTCCTCTGTGTTCTCCATAGTATCTCTTAGCTGGGATGGGTATGTATGTATGTCTGGGTATGTATTTAAAATCATCACATGCAGCAAGAGTAGGAAAATTATGCAAAACAATTGCCAGGTAGGATACATGGCACTGCATTAGATGATCCACTACTACCTCTCTCTCAGTACCCAACATCTTCAGATGGAAATTAAGCCCCACTGAAATTCACAGAATTCATAATTTGATTCTAGTTATGATAGGGTAAGGGTGATGATTCACGTCCCAGCAAAACATTAATTCAGACAGCTATTTCCCAAATCAGAACAAACCACTGTGCACATTATGACAAAAGGTTCATGTTCATTCCATCTCCCTCCTATTTGATTTTCTGTTACTTCTCCACAGTTCATTAGTATTCTGTAACTATTAAATAAATTCACCTCTCACAGACTGCATGGATGTCTTGTTCCCTTAGGGTTTTTCCCCCCTTACATATGTTCTGTAGTTCTGCTAATCTTGTGGCTTCCTCTTGTGTATGTGGGGGGAATATTGTGTATTTTCTGAAATATTTGATCTGAAGATCATACATTGAAATTATAAGCATATCCCAACAACAAAGCATATCCTTGGTATGCAGACCTTGCCTGAACCAAATATCTGAACTTCCATAGATACAAATGATTTTGTCCTTGAAGTATAATGTAACTTCATCATAACAAACCTCTGAGATTTATATATGTTGTCTTTTTGAATAGGCTTTAAATAGGCCTCCAACTACCTGTTGACTTTGTTGGTCAAAATGATACTGGGACAATGGTAATGAAAACGTTAAACCATCTCTGCCACAAAATAAGCTCTAAAATAAACTGAACTGAAACATGTTCATGTTGAGTCTTCCACCAGGTATATATTAGTTGTTGGCCTTACTAGCTCCTCGTCCTCAGTTCCTCAAAATACTGACAAGATGACTCTGAAGCTTGATTCAGGACATTTGGGGATAATCATCTGTACAGCCTGAATGGTCCCTTTTCAGGATCTATTTAGTAATGAGAGACAGACCATCTGAACCAATCTGTTACATGATTTGCTCACCTACTCTAAATTGTATCCCTGATTTGGCACAAGGTTTGCAGAAACTTCATGCAGTGGTTTAGCCAAGAAATCAGAAATACTGCTTGCAGAGAACAGTTCCCTTTTTCAGTCCTTTTTGTGCTAGAAGAGGTTTGGCAGGCATGAAATAAAACTGTGAAAATATTACTATTGTAAAAGAACATTTCTAGACTAAAATTGGGCAGAACAGACATCCCCCTCAACTCTATTTGCATCACTGGTTGCTGGGTCTTGATAAGACAACAATATCTGTAATGGAGGACATCTGCATCAGGTAATATTGTCAGACCAGGAACTCTTTGGTGGCCGTTCCTTTTGGTAAACAATGGTTCTTTAGTGGAGCCTGTCTTTTAGGGGCATCAGCCTTTTGGCAATTCTTGTTCAGGCCAGGAGGAAAGCCATTAATCCAGCCTAGCACCTTCCAATCTCACCCTGCTCTTTTCTTTCTTCCTTGTTTGTTTTTTGTCTCATATTTTTGTCTGATAGGATGACTGGTACTAGCAATACTTTTTTTTCTCAGGACAGAAATTTCTAAAAAAGGAGAAGAAAACCTTCACTTTTTCTTATATTAATCTGATTTTCTTTTCATGTCCATCCATAGCTGAAATCACTCTCAAGAACTGCAGAGAGGAACAAACAATCCAGCTCTGAGCTCTTCCCTTGCCAGCCTTTTGCTTAACCTAGAGGAACTCTTTGAGCCAGCTAAGCCATCAGACAAAGAACCAGCACACCAATACCCCACCTTTGGACTGTTTTGAATCCCCAGCTCCAGGAGAGCCATAGTTTCAGAAAGCCAGGGGGTGCACTGAGCAGATCCAGCCAGAGGGCACTGGCAAGGAGTTATTGATAGGGTCCTATATCTTCCTTTCCTTCCAGTTGCTGGGGAATCCATCTAACACTGATCTTCATGGCCCAAAACTCTGAACATGGTGCAAAGGAAAGGGGATTTCCCTTTCCCCTCTGCTTTCTTCAATCCCGAATCCTTCTCTCCTTCTCCCTTCCTAATGAAGTAGCATCTGTCCAAAAGGTACTATCCCTTAGCATATATTGTATGTGTAAGTGAATGTTGCTTCTTATAAATCCAAAATGCTGTTTATTTACAGAATCTTTATGATTCTCTTCCTGCTTTCTCCTTTTAGAGCTGCACAAAGCGAATGTTTTCTTCAAACTTCCCCATTTCCTTGTCAGTCTTTAAATGTATTGAATTCAATGTGTTACTCTTTCAACTTCCCTCTTTTTCCCATTGAACAGAACACTCTTCTCTCTGAATACTTTGCTATTCTCAGTGAACTGAATAATATGCTAAATTTTCAGGGATTATTACTGCTCTTATTTGACTTCTATTTCATTGTCCCAAATATTAGTTATTTATTAGTTATTGTTTGGCTATTAATTATAGTTTCATTTTTGGATTTTGAGAATGCCTAAGCCTGTTTAATAATCTATATTGTCCCAATAGAATTGGCTCTATGAAGGCCCAGTTCATAACAAATCCCTCATTGCTGCAAAAATCAGGGACAGCATATAGTTCAAACCTAATCAGCTTGTGTTCTTGGATGAACAGCAACAGGACTACTTAGTAACCAGGAACTCATTCAAAGGAACAAACACTATAATTAATCAGCAGTGGACATCTGTTTCACTGTGACTTACCACACAGATTACCAAGAGGTTAAATACAATTTACTTTTTGATAATTAATTATTCACTTGTAGGACATACCAGGCAAAATGCCCAAAATATTTTGTTTACTTACTTTGAATATTATATGTTCAATGGAGATGGATCATCTATGGTCATCAGTAAGAGATGATTTCGCTCATAACACTTGACACCTAATCGAAACTATAGTTTCCTCCTAAACTAGGGTTTAACTAAATACACTAGGACTCCAGTGCAATATTGGGAATAAATCCATTTGACTTATTGCTTAGTTTTTCTATATAATACTATAGAATATTACATCAGGTGAAAAGCTTTGTGGACAGATTAGTCACTAATGTCACTAATAAATCTGATTTGTCCAGGTTTATTTATATTATTAAAATTATACATTTTTATGGAATGTAAATGGTATATTACATTTCCATAAAAACAAAGAAAGTAAATAATTGCACAAACACTTACCTAAAGAGGGTCTGTACATTTACAATTGTCTTAGCATCTGCCATGTATTCTTCTTCAGCACTCATAGTGCTTTCCTTGTCCACAACAACCATGTTGGCAGCAAATGTCACACCACACCTTAGCAGATCATCTAGACTTTTGCAACAGAACAAAAAGTTACATGAAATCAAATATATATAGGTCATAATAAGTTAGCCATATATTCTGAAAAAAGCTCAGTGATTTGTAAAATTGAACAATTGGGACCAATCTGTAATCATAAAGTTAGTAGCTGCTTGAATAGATTTTATCTTTCAATTGACAGGACTCATCCCATATTACCTCTTGGCATGCCAAAGCCTTATTATTATTATTATTGTTCTTGTTGTTGTTGTTGTTGTTATGATGATGATGATGATGATGATGATGATGATGATGCAGCAGAGGTTTTTCCCCCCATAATTTGTAGGAACATGTAAATAGAGAGAAGGGAACAAATGTATACCATTTTTTAACTTGTTCCCAAAAATCATGTAGTGTGAAAAGATGAGCAGATACATAAATCTGATTCCATTTTGATTGTAATGAACAAAGCAGGAGCAGTTTGAGTATGCATATTCTTTCTTCTCAGAAAGAAAGCACAATCCCAAACACAGGAGTAACTATGATTAAGTTTATCTACAACAATCTGCTTATAGTTAACAGTGAGGTTCTGTACTTTACTAATTAAAAGTAAGCTATCAATGTAATGTACAATGTAATGTACCAGATAAGTGCAGCCTTAAATTCCCTTTAAATGAAGCTCTGAAATCTACTTCAGAATGTATTCACAAATTCTTATTAAATGTGGATTTTAGAGTTCCATAAACTACATAACCATAGGTAAGTGAGGAAGAGAAAGAAATTACTTCAAGGAGGAGAGAGAAGTTGTAGGAAGGAATGTTATAATTTACATTATGCATTTCATTGCTCACTTTGAGTAATTCTACTGATGGTTGAATTACCTACTGGACAATAATATTGCCACTGAACAGAAATGACTTAACCTGCTAGAAACAATGAAACATTTCAATTTTTACATGTTACTAAATGCTTGCTTGAGTATTTATATTAAAATAGTATTTCCTAAGGATTTTAATTAAACTACATTCTAAATCATTATGACAACATTTTGTCTACACAGTATTACTCTGCATCAAAGAAGGGAGACAAAATGGAGAATTAGTTCACATAATGCAGTGCAGACAGGGCTGGTCCTGGCTTGGTATATTTAGAGCTTCTTGACTCTGGTGACATATTCGGCAGACAAAGCACATTCCTACTATCATAGGCCATCTATTCTCATTGCTGCTATAGGCTGCTCACTGTAGCTAGTCTATATCTCTTATGATTTCAATCTCCATATATTTCTTACTTAGACGAAATGATATTCAGCCATTATTTACACACACACTCTCTCTAGGATTATCTCACCTACTATTCCTCAATTTGAGGAAGGAATTATAGCACCATATAGTAATGTCTGGCTTAGGATGGCAAGGAAAAGGAGAATAAGGAGCCTTGGCTGCAGTTACAAGTGCCCAGGAAAGGACGGGAGGAAGCATTATGAGGGAGGAGAATTGGATGGACATATTATATAGTTTACTTTAGGTGACAAAGTATTTTGAACTATACCTGCCTCCCATTGCTTCTCTTGCTTTGTTCATTATCAAGATAATTGTTTCACACATTTTTCCATGTATGGCATTATTTAATATGGGTACCCAACTTTCTTTGTGCTGTATCTAAAATGTATAAAATAAAGTATGAATTGCAATAAATATGTTAAGAGGCATTTTTCTTATATTTTTTTTATTTTTTATTTTATTTTATTTGTATTTCTTATATTTTCCTTGAGGAGGTAGTGAGGTGGACACTCTGTGGGTGTAGAGTGAACCAATTAAAATCTTGGCTTGTTGTTATGTAATATATGAAACAACCTTTATATAACCAGCATATTCTCTAATAAAACTAGGATAGGCATTCGTACATAGTATCTTCCCCACCTTTGAGAAGAATAAAAAAGATAAAATATTGTTCTTTAAAAACATTGTACTACGGTCTATTATAAACAAAAGCAGAAAAGACACTAAAGTCTGAGGCATGCTAAGTTAAGACTGAGCAAAATAAGATAAACAGAAATCAACTGGCAATATATTAAAGGATTTTTTTTTCCCCTTCGGGATCATAAAAGCAAAATGAATATCTCAAAGTGAAGCATCCTGTTTGACTTAGGATCAAACTCTACATTATTTTAAAGCGGTAGCTGCTGGTTCAGCTAAGATTCAAGCATTTTTTTAAAAAATGAGTATTTTTTTAAAAAAACCTTAGAATGTAGGATTGGAAGCTCTAACTGTTTGCAGCGACTGCAATTCCAGTCTGGATAGTCCTTAATGGAGGCAGGGAGGTCCCAATGTACAAGTTGACCTTTGCAGAGCAGCCAATATGTGTACTTGCACACAGGTACGCTGAGTATTTTGCATATAAGGTTTATCAATTAATTGATTTCATCAGGCTGAACAGGACTTGGAGATGATAATTCCTTACTATACATCCAAACAACAGATCACCAGGTTCCAGAAATAATTCAGAAGTGGATGAAATTGGAAAAACAGTCCATTAGCCCAGCCCTCTTCTCCATGCAAATTGGAGCATCCCAAAAAGATATTTCTCCAGCCTCTGCTGAACTCATTCAGTGATGGAGAGCCCATGTCCCTCTGAGGTTACATTGCTGAATGGCTTGTACTGTCAGAATATAGACTGAATTGTATATCAACTACTATTTAACCGTAGATTACCATGTATAAAACTAGGAGTGCCTTTTTTAAAAAAGAAATCTTAATAAGCAATATAAAGGTTCAGAATGTTGAAAAACAAGTAAGCATGCAATGATACAACTTCAGAACACTAGCACTACATAAATGCATGCAACTACATAGTACTGCACACTACAATACAGTACAATATTTAGTGCACCAAGATCATTTTACCTACTTGTCAATAGAGCCCACCATGTAGTAAACCATTGGAAACCAACAGATTGCATCCAGAAAATGCATATCTGGCCTAAATAGCAGATGGGTCACAAAGTGAAAGATAGTATCACAAACATTGTGTGGGTACTGGCAATTATTTAGTAATAATGTCAAACACAATTTAAATAGTGGAAAAATCTCTAATGTTGCTAGTGTCTCATTTTTATAACCATATGTTTGCTTCTTCCTGTTTCTTCATTGATTTGAAAACTGTTCTACAGTATGTAAAATTTTGCTTGACTTTCATGCACATTTCTTCTAAGTGACACATTTCTGGCAACATTCTTGCCTATTGTGAAGCTTTTTTTCGCAAACAATACCTTCACATATATATGGCAATTTTTTTTACTGCTTTCTCTAACACAATTTTGTGCACACTTCTGCCTTAAATAAGCAATATTCTACACATTCTGCCTGTAATGGTACAGTATGTGGGAATCACCTTGAGAGATGGGGCAAAGAGATACTGCCTAGGGAATGGTCAGATAAGAAAGAGCATAGCCCTCAGCTGCATAGTGGGCAGAACAAAAGGCTCAGGAGGGACCCTCCCTAAGTTCTCGGACTGAAAAGGTAACGGTGGGAGAACTGTACTTTCAGACTTGCAAGATTCTGTTAATGTAGCTTTACAATAAAGTAGAATTAGCTTATCTGGTCAGGTTTCCTGCCTGGTCTACCTGATAAGGCTGACATTACCTGACCACTTTGATCTTGTAGGGTTGGCACCCTCTGGGTTCCTTCCATTAAACAATGTCATCTATCAGGATTCCGGACATGTCCCTTCCTTGTAGCAGCACTGCCCTTGGGAATAAGGTACCCCCTGAGATCCAGATGGCCCCCACTCTGCTGTTGCCTTTGGTGAGGGAGAGTGAGACCCCTCGCTTCATTCCATCTGGTCTGTCCCGCTTGCCATCTTTTATCTTTTATTGATTTTGATGTAATTTCTTTTATTGTTTTGAGCTGAGCAGAGTTGGGCGTTGGGCGACAATTTGGAACAATGTACATATGCAAATAAAACTGCATTTGGCCTTGCATAGTTATTTGGAAAGTACAAATTTGGCAGTGGTATGAGGCAAAGAGGACAGTGTCCACTGTGCTTAATAGACATTATTCACATTGTCAGGGTTAGATCTTTCATTATATCTCAATTTGGTATGGGGAGGTATTGGAGATGTTTTTCCCCTTTAAAATTTAAATTTAAAATTTCCCCTTCAGCTTCTTTTAGAGCTTATACTACAGTTTACAAGTATTTCTTGCCTCAAAATACAGCGTAGTATGATGAGTGCAAAAAGAGCTGAATGCAGCGGTGTGCTTGAGGTCACAGAGCCACAAATGCACCCCAAAGCCTAGGGTATATCTCTCCAAACAGTTGTTACCTAAGTGCAATTTTTAATGTGACAGAAGGAGAAAATCCTTAATTATATGATGACACCTGAAGTCCAATGAAGCGCTTGGTAGTGGAAAAAAGCTGACCCCCCTTACTTTACAGCATAGTAACATACAAAATATGTTAATAATCATTTAGAAATAAATGTGGACATCCATCATATGCATGTGGTTGAATAAAACTGGTTTAATTGGTTTTTCTCAGGAAACTGAGTTTAGCTGTGGTATAGCAAACACCACCACAGAAGTGTCAGCATAATTTCATATCAGATCAGTGGAATTTAAGCATTAGTGAAGCACACAAATGTATATTTCCTATGCTTACAGGGATGAGTAGAGAACCCACATGTAAACTGTATTTATTACAATCAGAAAAATGATCCATAAAATGTTTGTTATGCTGGAAGACCTCATAATAACTAGAAATGCTGATAAATTCCCTTCAAAAATAAAAATAAAAAAGGAAACACAGCTGGAAGCCATAAGGAACCATGATGAAATGTAAATAAAACTATATTAGAGAAATGATATATTAAAATTATGTATTGAAAATATGAGCCTTTAAAAAATCAATTCAAACACTAGAGGGCGCTATAGTTCTACACTCAAAATATCAGTCCACAATGAGATTTGCAGTTAAATTTGACGTGATATTAAAAAAAAAGTTCCCACAGTCTCTCCTATGCAAGTTTGATCTTAAACATCTACAAGAGTTGATAGATTCAAGATACCATTGTTAGCATAGATTGAATTTTCTGCACTATATGACATAAAGTAGGAATGAGCAACTTTCAGGCTGATACCAGGTTTTGTGCAAGTCAACAACTACTTTCCAGAAGTACTGATCCAATCTTTGACTTTTCAGGGGTTTTAAAGGGTGAAATAGGTGCATTACAAAGGCTGAAAAAAAAAAAATGGCCCCACCAACTCTAGGAACTTCAAAAGAGGAGCTGATAGGCTGCATTTTTTGCAACTCTGGAATAAGAAATAAAACCTATCTCTTTGCTGTAGTTTATCTGAGTCAATCAATCGCTTAAACTGCCAGAGGTTTTTGTTAAAGGAAGGATAATCCAATCTATGCAACAATAAATGTGAAGCAACTAGGCACATTCAAGTGTTCAGATCATTTTCACTAGAGACATATTTGTTAATCTATTTTTATTGGACCAAAATAAAAAAAAGCAAATTAAAAATCTAACATGACTGCCTGCCAAGAAGGGATGAGCAACAGAGAGGTTCCCCCCCCC